AACGTATATTTGTTTCATTTCAACTTAATGCACTGTGTGCACTAGTTCAAAAAATGCAGCAATAAAAAAATCAGACCTATGCATGCCAACACGCAGAAAATTACATGTTTTGTCCGAATCAAAACCGAACGGTTGGCAACTTTACTTGAAGTAAGGTCTGTTCGCGTTGTTCGAAATTATCAAAAATTTTTGCGTTTAAAATAAAATAAGTATTAAATCTGTTCATGTTGTTCGTATTTTTTACATTTAGAATTTTCGATTTTTCTCTTTTCAAAATCCGAATATATATTTATCTTGTTTTCAATGCAAAAATTGTTGGAAATTCAGGCAACATGAACAGATTTATTCAGACGTTGAGAGAGAAAGCAAAAATGTTGAATTTCTTCCACCATGGCGACCATGGTTGAGTGCGTGAGTGCAAAAGGTGCAAGCAACGCGAACAGATGTATTGTGCCGAACTGCTAAACATCGAAGTTTATTTGTAGGTTAGGGATCTTTTTCAAGATATTTTTTATTTTCCATCAAATTGTTATCAAATCATTAATTGTAATCTATTATATACTGTACTCAATAAACAAAATGCACTTCTATTCGTGATACTTAGGACTTTAATTGCTCAAAAGAGAAAACATCGAAATTGAAATATTAAGACAATTATCAAATTTCAGTGTATGTAATAATTTCTTGTAAAAAGAGAAGAAGAAAAATGAGTACTGAATACAAATTCGAGAAAGAAATAGACTGCAAGCAAGGGGCCGTTAGATCTGTACGATTCAGTGGTAAGAAACTTTGTTTACTTTTGATACAATAATTTTATAAAATTATGTTTATGTGGTTTTGTATTTTAGTGGACGGTTCATATTGCATAACGTGCGGGTCAGACAGGAAGCTAAAGCTATGGAATCCATACAAATCTGTTACGTTGAAAACGTATGGTGGTCATGGTAACGAGGTTATGGACGCTTACGCGTCTTGCGACAGCAGTCAGATTGTATCTTGTGGATTAGACAAATCTATAATCATCTGGGATGTGGCCACAGGCATGCCTGTGCGTCGTTTTAGAGGACATGCAGGCCCTGTCACAACAGTCAGGTTAATATATTATTTGTAACTGAGTCTGAAGATCAATGTTATATTTTATTCAATCTAGTTCATATTAAGAATCATTATACATTTATCCTTGATTTCATCAATATAAGATTAACTTTAATCCTGGTTCAATTTACTTTTTTATTTTTTTCTAATTATAAGTATTAGAAAAAAAAACAATTAAACTATGATTAAAGTTAATCTTACATTGGTGGAACTGGAACTTGAAGATCTAAATATTAAGTATAAAAATGTAGAAGTGCTTTTCCAACCAAGTAATCTCAATTAAAAATTCTGCCTTAATTCAATATAATTAAGTTCAAACTTTAAAAGTTAAAAAATAACATACATATAATGATATTTAAACATGATATTTCTAAAATATAAATTTTATTGAATGTATTAGAATACATACATATTAATTCTGTTATGCTACACTGATTTAATCTAAGTTTAAAAGTGGAATACAAATATTTTGCATTATCAACTACATATTTTATCTAATGGCATAATAAAATGGAATATTTTATTGAATATTTAACTGGTTTCTATATTTGTAATAAGCATACATTTTTATTTCAATTTTATATGACAATTTTAATGTGCATCACTACACTGAATGTTTCCATTTGAATTTACTATTAGCTTGATATTTTTTGTTGCAATCACAGATTTAATGAAGAATCGTCAATGATCGTTTCTGGATCTCGTGACAACAGTGTTATGTGTTGGGATGGACGTTCTAAAGCGCAAGAAGCAGTACAATCTTTGAATGATGCTAAGGATTCTATTTCTAGTGTGAGAGTTTCAGATCACGAAATTTTATCTGGTTCTTTCGATGGCAAAGTACGCACATACGATATACGAGTAGGAGAACTTTGTGAAGATTATATGGGAGGTAAGAAATAAAAGATTTAAGATTATTGATTGGAAAATATAATACGATACAAACTTTTTAGATGCAATTACATGCGCCAGTTTTACTAGAGATGGACAATGTATACTTGTCAGTTGTGCGGACGATGTAATTAGATTAATCGACAAGGACGCGGGAGAGTTACTCGGTGAATTCACAGGACACACTGGGAAAGATCTGTGTCTAGAATCTAGCGTAGACTATCAAGATACGAAAATTCTTTCCGGCTCGGCAGATGGGAAATTATGGATTTGGGACCTTGTATCTCAAAAAGTGGTAGCGAAGCTCTCAGGTTTTAAGCCAACCAAACATCCTACTGTATCTATAAGCGTTCATCCACAGAAGAATTGCTTTCTCGCTTCTAACGGATCTAATATATTGATGTGGAGCACGCAGTCTCACACAGATAATGAATAATAGTGTTTCATTATTATCTCTTTATGTACAAAGTAAGTCCAAAGTCTGTGATTTTCAATAATTTTAGTTTTAATAATTTTAATAATTTTTCAAATTGAATGTTTGTTATGACTATGTATATATCATTAATAATAATTATTATTTTTAAAGTTGAACCATTTTAATGATTAATGTGGTCACTTGTCCACCTGACAATTTTTATAAAAATTGTAAAAAGATCCCACACTAATTACATAAGAAATTAAGCCTGAGTGAAATGTTATCTTACATATTTATGATTAGATTATTGCGAAATAATTTTAATATAAAATTAACTAGCTAATGCATATATACATATATTATTATCTTGAAAAATTAAGAAATTATATGTAGGGTAAAGTGGTATTTTGTAAATGATACAATTCCGAACAAAATATAATTTGAATATCCTATTATCATACATATATAATTGTATCATTTGCAATCAAATTTCTTATACACAGAGACCCTATTACTAGAGTCTGGCAATAAGCGATTTGTTGAAAATCCTACAGAAGAGAAAAGTATATGTAATTTATTCTTGTATATATACTGCCTTATACTACTATTCTTTAATTATATATATATATATAA